GTTATGAAGCAGCCAGAAAGAAGTGAAATCCATAAATTGATATTGATAATAAAGCTCATAATTTGGATAGGCCGAAATCTTAGTAAAATAAAAAGTGAATCGCAGTAAACAAACAATTGCCCAGGAGTATGATGCTAAAGCTACAGCCTAATCTATACTTTTCAAGCTCATCATAAAAAATAGCTAAAAATCTTTCCAAATTTGTTCCAGAACCGATATAAAAACTTAACACCCGAAATCTCCTTATCAATTGGATGCCATCTGATCTTGAGAATTGTTTGAAGTCTAATGATAATTTAAATGACATTTTGTATAATTTTAATTTATATTTATTGTATATAAAACAGAGAGCTGTTGCAGTTATTTACAAAAAGCACTTACATATGTACATATGTATGTATGGAAACTGACCTTCTATTTGCTCAAAAGTGGCACACATGAGTAAAAACAAAAAGGTTACTCTACAAAATTGATGTGGCTATAAATCGGTTGCTCCTCTATGTATGTATGTACATATGTCGGTGTGATCCTTTTACTTGCACCATTGCCTGCATTCGAATGGATAACAAAGGTCTTACATGTGCAAAAGCACAGCGTTGGGTCATTTGTTGATTTCCGAAAATATTTACTTTCAATTCGTTTTCGTTCGTTCATTCTGACCCGTTACTGTGCCAATGATACATACGAACATTTGTATATGCAAGAAACTTTAACACATCCGCTCAAAAATGTATTTACTTATTCATAAATATACCCCATGCGAATTTCGAATATGAGAGACATGCTAGAGACATTGACCGCTGCTTAGCTTCAGAGAGGATATACGACAGTCAATATCTACTAGTAACTTGTAGCAATATATTATTGTTCTACGTACATATATGGTAAAGTGACTTCGCTTCACTTAGCTCTGTAAAAGAATAAGTCGGTAACTGGTATAAATAAAGTAAACTGGTATAATTAAATACAAATTTTAAACATATTATACCCATTTTAATGAGTATGTCACATATCATAGCTGTTTTCTATTCGACAATACTTTGAGAATAACGAATGGGATAGACCACGCTTATAAATTAATTAAACTGGTATAATAAAATATAAATTTAATGAAATTTTAGTGAGTTAATCACATATTTTAGCTGAACCTATCCTTTTGAGAGTTATTAATAGAACAAACATTTGGTATAAAAAATTAAACTAATATAAAAAACCAAATCGAATTCAAATTAGTTATATCACTTAAATGAATTATCTAGCACATATCGTTAGGTGTCTTCGTTTTTGCAAATCTTTGAAAGTTTTGAATAGAACAGACAACTGGTATAAATAAATTTAACTGATATAATCCAATACAAATTGAATAGAAACATATCATAATAACTTAATGCGTTACCCACATACGTTAGCTGTTTTCTTTTGACAACCTTTTGTAAGGTATGAATAGAACAGACAACTGGTATAAATAAAGTAAACTGGTATAATAAAAAAATCAAGCTAGATAAAAATTTGTCATACCAATTAAATGGGCGATAACTTATTTATTTCAGCTGCCTTCTTTTTGCCAAAGGTATGAATAGAACAGGCCACTGGTATAAATAAATTAAACTGATATAATCAAAAACAAATTGTATTAAAACATGTTATATAACTTAAGTTAATCTCTAACACACTTTGGCTGTTTTTCTTTTGACACCTTTTTGAGAGTTACGAATAGAACAGACAACTGGTATCAAAAAAAGGAACTGGTATAATAAAATTAAAGTTTAACTCAAATTAGTTACATCACTTCAATGAGTAGTTGTATTCTTTTTGGAAAACCTTAGAATGTTATGAATAGAGAACTACAACACTATACATTAAGAGACTGACATAATCGAATAGGATTAGAAGAGTTACAGTTTTCAATAAATTACTGACATTTTCTTTCTATTTTTCTCTAATATGAATATTATTGTTATTTTTACTTGAAAATTTGTAACGAAAGAGCCCATCATCGAAAATAGTAAGCAGAGAGTTGACGAAACGAAGATGTCTATTGCAGCAGCGGCAACTTCAATAGCATTTTGTTAGCACCGAAGCAATTCCATATATCAAAACATTTTCTCTACTGGGTGCTTGAGAATTTGGTGATATATGCATTGGCATGCAACTTCATGCAATTTTAATTAAACCAGAAAAAGTCACACTCGGCTCGGTTAAGTAAATACAAATAAAAGTCAACACATGTGCAAATAACAGCCGAGAGTCAATAAAGCTTAATGCCGATAAAAGTTGTTCAATTGTTGCATAACAATAAGTAAGTCACGACAGGGGCAATGCACATATGCATGTGTGGACCCAAAAATGACCACTCGAAAACATATGCATTATTCAAACACGCGGACACGTTTAATCTGTTTTGTTTTTTTCCCCCCAAGGGAGGAAGTCAACAATAAAGCCCACGAGCAGAGTTTACACAGCTTTTTATCGCCAGCGCGTGCACTGTTCCTTTGGAACTTGATTGATAATTAAATATTAATTATATAAAAAATTACTTGAATATTAAAGTTATTTAGTGCATTTATGTTACGAAGGTCTTTTGGAGAATATAAATAATATAACTTGCTTATCGGTCAAGTGCGAAAACTTGTATTCAAAGGTGGTATTGAAATAATAAAGCCAATAGTCGATGTCACAATACTTGTTTGGTTGCTTGAAAAGGGAGGAGCATAAGCTCAAGAACACAGGCGTCCTTATTAGGCAATTTATATTCCCGGGTGGTAACCAAATTAAGCTTTATCCAACAACTCGTAGAAAAAAACAACTGGGAACTTTGGGAGTCGTGGATTATAGACCTCTCATCTTTCTGAAGGCTAGAAATTCGCATAGATAATATTCTAGCGTCTATCGAGCTCTGCATTCCGCCGAAATCAATTTTCCCATTTTCTGAAGTTGGGATTTTAAGAGCAGTGATGACTCTTACAATGTTTCTAAGCTTCCTTTTGTCTAGAAGTAGCAGCTTTCTGGTCTGTCCACCACCAACATTTACCCAAAGTAACTTTGTGGTATTCTAAACGTTTCTGGTGTTCCTTCAGGGTCTATTGGTTCTTACAAGCTTTGAAGGAGATATGTAAATATTCTGGAGAACTTTTTCTATCTTAGGGGAAATGTGTTTCCAGCTAGAAGATCTTGACATCTTCTATTATATCCACAATTTTGGCTCGAAAGACTGAACTGTTGTAATTTAGTTTGCATCTATCTACCTTCTTTGTATCGATTACTACAAAAGGAGACCGGTTCTATTCCTATTTTATAATTCGGTCTGTCGGTGAATATGTAGATTTCGTTGTTGTAAATGTCGATCACCATTGAACCATATTTCTCTACTGAGAAATGAAAACACCAGACTTACTTTCTAGCCTACGTATGGATATCTCCCCTATATGCCAATATTCCAATTAGCAATATGCAGAGTATGCGTTCAAAACCTTCTATATACCAAAAAAAAAAGCTCTTTATGATTTATGAGATCATGCATCACATTAGTTAGATATCTCGTAAAATCTTTTATGAAAATAACAGTTAAAGCTTAAAATAAGGCTTATTCAATACCTCACATTTTAACTGATTAATCGAATGCAATTCTACGAATGTTTCTAAGTACTTTCCAGAATACTCAGGTACAAATGTAGCTAGGTTAACTTAAGTAATATGGCTAAGTAATATGGCGTCCATGGACTGTTATATGAAGCCAAATGAAAAATGACCTGTAGTTTGATCTCAGCTATCGGCAAAAACGCCGCAATCACAAAACTATTTGGATGTTTTATATTGCATTTCTCAACTGGGTATCTAAATGTATGAGATCCGAGGTATTTTTGCCTCGATCTGGCAAAAGCGTAACATTTGAGGAGGAAATTTTAAGATGATTATATCTCATCTTCTCCCATACAGATAATGTAACTAGTATTCAGTATGATTCAATCTTACTGCATGAATCCCGATCAGACAGCATCCTTCTTGAAAATGATCACCATATTAACTCTGGGCCAGTAGGATTTTGCTACTGCAAAGCTGCTGGTAGTTAACCAACCCTTGATGATATCATCTAAGGCCCATTAGTAGTGAACCACATAAAGTCAACGGCGCTTCTGACCCGACCTTATTGAGGCTGAAGTACCCATCCTAGCAGGCTTAAGCCTTACCGTTTCTTGTAATACCGCTGCGGCCAAGCACCCAAACCAGTCTAATCATAAAATAACTCAGGGATAGAGATAAAGAGTCTAGACATCATTTCACTAATCTTGAGCGTACAGTGACCGAACTCAAGGCATATACCACTGCTCTAGTATCGGAACGTATAGCAACCACTCTGAAATAAGCTGCATCCATTAGATCTATTGCTACCTTTATGACAGCCAATTAACCCTGGAAGCTGCCGCAGTAGTCAAGAAGCCTAAAATTGAAGTTGATGGAAAGTTCCTGATAGTGTACTGCACCACAAACCCACCCCCGCTACGATATCCGTAAAATGTTCACTTACAGTTCTTCAGCGAATGCTTCCCTCCCATGCCTATCTCGAGAGTAACATATGTATATGAGCAGAGGAGTAACCGGCTAGGTTCGGTGATCTGTATTCCAAGTATTTTGAAACGAATTCAAGGTGTGCAAGTATGCAAGAGTTCTTACAGTCATCTGAATACTGAATATAGTAGTAGATGTCACTTGACCTTATGAAAATATATGACTAACATATGTATGTATGTATGTACTTCTTCTAACCTTACCTAGCCTATCAATAGTGTCGTAGTGGAATTTTCGAAAAATTTTAAAATCCGAAACCATCCAACCCCTTCTATGAAGGCACCGGGAAAACGTAACATTCAACTAACACTATATACAATATATGTACTATATATCAAATACTGTATATATCGCATAAATAATTTATAAACGTAATCCAACTTAATTCTATTTTTCTTCCATTTCTTTCATAGATACCATCGCGCGCACTTAACGGCATGCAAAAGATGAGCGCACTCGATTTCGATTATAATGAGATTGTGCGCATCGAAGATTACAGCTTCTACGGGCTGCGTTTGTCGAAGCTCAACATGAAGGGCAATCAACTGCAGTCAATACCCGAACACGCGTTCGTAGGACTAGAGGAATCCATACAAGAGATTGACTTATCTGAGAATACGCTGCGTACATTTCCGTTACTCTCTTTACGTAAACTCGATTATCTGCGTACGTTGCGACTATCCAATAACAAGATCTCCACATTTTATGGTGACATAACGCTCGCGACGAACAATGCTTCGGCAGCGGCAACGGTGCTACGGCTGCCATCTCTGATATTTCTGGATTTGAGTTCAAATCAATTTACGGAGATTGTGAATGATTGCTTTAGCGCCTTTCCGCAGCTAAAAACGCTTTCGCTATACGCGAATCAAATAGAGCTCGTACAACCGGATGCGTTCAAGAGTTTGAAGGAGTTAATGTCGCTCGATATATCACACAATCGCATCATTTCATTGGATGCCAAAATTTTCGATAAAAACAAACGTCTACAAACTGTGGATCTTAGTCACAATCATGTACACTCAATTAGTGGTGTCTTCTCGAATTTACCGCAATTGCGTGAAGTCTTTCTCTCCGAAAATAATATACTCGAATTGCCTGCAGACGCCTTTACGAATTCGTCCAATGTGGATGTCATCTATTTGGAATCGAATGCCATAGCGCACATCGATCCGAATGTCTTTAGTACGCTTGTCAATCTGGATCATTTATATTTGCGTTCCAACTTCATACCGTTAGTGCCTGTAACGCTCTTCGATAAATGCCAGAAACTCACTTCATTATCGCTCGATAACAATCAAATACAAGATCTCGAGATCGGCATGTTTAGGAAGTTGGAATTTTTACGTGAAGTGCGTTTGCATAACAATCGTATACGACGCATACGGAAGGGTGTATTCGAGCCCTTACCGGCATTGCAGGAACTTCATGTACAAAAGAACAATATTGAGGATATCGAACCGGGCGCTTTTCAAAGTCTAACAAATTTGCAACACATCAACTTACAGGATAACCAACTAACTGTGTTGGAAGACATTTTTCCAAACGACAAGGCCAACTCTTCGCTACTCTCCATACAGCTGGAGGAGAATGAGTTGCACAAGATACACGTGCGCACATTTCGGCGACAAGAGCGCATACAGATTATGTGGCTGCGTGACAATCAGCTGACCCGTGTTGACAAGAGCATGTTCGTGGATCTGCTGAAGCTCGGGCGACTGTACCTTAGCAATAACCTCATACGCGACATCGACAAGGATACTTTCAGTACGCTGAAACATTTGAAATTCCTCGACTTAAGCGGCAATCGGCTGAAGCATGTGCGCCGCGAATACTTTGCACCGCTCGTGAGCTTAGAGGAGCTAAGTCTCGCGCAAAACTACATTGAAGCGCTGGAAAGTTATTGCTTCAATAAGTTGAAGAACTTACGTGTACTCGATCTTTCAAACAATCCTTTGGTGCAATTAACCAAGGATATTTTCATGGAAGAACTACCTTTAACGTTTCTGAATCTGCGTAACACGTCGCTGCGAAAAATTGAGCTACATACCTTCAAGGCGCTGCAGAACCTGAATGAACTTAATTTGGAGGATAATCAATTGAACCCCTCTGATATACATAAACTGGATGTGCCGAGTTTACGTAGTCTCTACCTCGCGCACAACGACTTCAGTCACGAGCGTGTGGGCGGCATAACGGCCGGCATGTTCGATAAGATGCGTTCGCTACAATTGCTTACAATGGCCAATTGCAGTATCGATTTATTGCCAGACGAGATTTTCACTAAGAATACCAATCTCGTTAAGCTCGATCTGTGCGACAACCGCATCACTGTTATGAATCGGAATATCTTCAATGGCCTGAACGTGTTTAAAGAGTTGAAGTTGTGTCACAACCAGCTCTCGGAGTTTCCGCACATTGCGCTATATAATTTGAGCACGCTAGAGAGCTTGGATTTGTCACGCAATCAGCTGACTTCTATCGACTTCTTCAAGTTGAGCGGCACGCTGAATCTGCGTCAGCTCAATTTGCATGACAACAAAATCACTTCATTGAGCGGTTTCAATGCGGTAAACCTGACGCAACTCGATAATATTGATCTTAGCGGCAATCTTTTGTTATCTTTGCCTGCGAATTTTCTGCGTCACTCTATAAACTTACAGCGTGTAGACTTGTCGAGTAATCGCTTTCTGCAGCTGCCCAGTTCAGCGCTTTCGGACATCTCCATACCACGCCTCTCTTGGCTCAATCTCACTGGTAATCCAATAAATAAGATTTACACAGTTAAAGAGGAGCGTTATCCCTACCTTAAGGAGCTTTACATCTGCCAAACTAATCTGTCCATACTAACTTCCAAAGACTTTGAAGCTTTTCAGGCTTTGCAACATTTGCATTTGGTTAATAATCGCATCACACGCATATCACCTGGCGCCTTCAAATCACTCACAAATCTGCTCACATTGGACCTCAGCATAAACGAATTAGAAATGCTGCCGAAAGAGCGTCTACAGGGCTTGACTCTACTACGCTTTTTAAATATTTCACATAATATTCTGAAAGAATTGGAAGAGTTTAGCAGCGATTTGGCTCAGTTGCAAACTTTTGATTTGTCCTACAATCAATTGGATCGCATATCGAAGAAGAGCTTCCGAAATCTGCATGGTCTCGCGGAATTGTATTTAATGGGTAATCGCATGACGGTCTTGTCGAATGACGCTTTTCGGTACTTGCGTAAGCTGCATGTACTTGATCTACGTAAGAACTACTTTGAACTGGTGCCGATTGAAGCGCTCAAACCTTTGGAGACTAACATAAAAACATTGAAATTGGAAGGTTAGTTTTAACGAAATCCAATAATTACTATTTTTATACATATTTTTTTAAGAGCTGGATCTCTCCTAAGCTCATTTCGTAAATATGTAAACATTTTAAAACACACCCATTTTAAAAATGTCCATAAAATCGGTTTTTTCACGCCATCATCAAACAGTTAGTTATAGGTTATTTTGAGCGCCAGGTAAATAATAAGCTAATTTTTCAGGAGGCCACAAATAGTCCCACTTGGACGACTGCAAGATAGGTCTGATCCTTCAAATGCCAAGAATTCCCAGATTAGATAGACGAGAATTGCACCGCGACCTTAGGTCTAATGTGCCCTCTTCCCAATATATTGATAGAGTCCAATATTCTGCTAGGTGCTGGTGAGGGGATGTGAGCCCTATTCATAAACATGGATAGAGGGGCTCGCAGAACTCCTAAGTATGGTTCATAGATATTGCCGCATATATACAAAGCGGCTAGTTCCTTCCAGAAATTTATTAAGCCGGCTAATACCCCCTCCAGCCAAAACCTTCTTAAGAGCTAGTAGGTCCAGGGACGTTTCCCGTTTCACTCTGGGCCAGAAGGCTTCCATAACCCCACAAGTGTTAGCTGCTGACCAACGTTTACTGAGCTCGAGCAAGGTGAATAGATACAGCGCCTGAATGCACGAAGATAGGGAAACACCTACTCGCTCCCATTCCGATGTAACTGGTATTACTACTTCGTGCTCATAGGCTTTACAGTTTGCGACGATTCCGCTGTGGTCCATTAATCAGACAACTTTAGTAAGGAAGTGGCTTGATGCTGCAGCTAGTGAGGTCATGCTTGTATGGAAGAAGGCGAACTTCGTTGAAGTACTGTTAATAGCAGGTTTCGATACCATTTCGCACCCATCGAAACTTTACTTGATAGTTTGGTTAAACTAACACCAGAGCTCGTTCATCGAGCATCAATAGTGTAATGAAATTATCGAAATTTAATAAACAAGTCTTACCGCCATGATATACACACAGATCCCAACTTTACACGAACCAATTGTCGAAGCAAAGTCTAGTGTCTCTAACGTGAGGCCACAGTTTTTTTAATGCTGATACCTCAGAAGTAATATTTGCTTTAGTTCTGAAATTAACATTCATTCCAAATCCCCAAATCCTAACTGCTTAAGATTACTGAAGTAAGTCTTGGGAATATGTCGATTTCTTGCAAAAAAAAAGTGTGAGAACAGGGCTTGTTTTGGGATTTCCATTTCATAAATAGTGGGTTGTTAACAATTCAAGGTTACACCTCGCATAGAACTGTCGAGAATATTTACGGTATGATTTTGATTCAGGAACCAGCAGCTATTTGTAGTCCTCTTAGAGTTTATAGCCTTGGCCGTAAACAATAAAGATAAAGGACAAGGGGTAGGAAGAAAGAAAAAATAAGGAAAAGAAAAAAATGGATTTAATAAAATGTTTACTGCATCTAATAGCCTTTATTTGTAATTACTTGCATGTGATAAGCGCTTTACTAACGGAGTTTTGTTACTTTTTTATTGCCGCTCTTTCCAAACCATCTCTGTTCATCACTGGTTACATACCAACAACAACTGGCTAAATGTTGCCACAAACTGAAACTGGCTGCCGCTCCTCACTACAACCCGTTACACGGGCAATAAAAAATGCAACAATTACGCTGTATCACCGCTAACTACGCGCATCAAATGTCACCTACAACTACACCAATTGACGGCACCACAATGGCATTGGTCGTATTACCTGTTGGAACTCATCAATGTCAACGTGAATAACAACATCGATGAATATACATGCGTACGACAAACATGCCACTTAATTGTTGTTGCTGTGGCTGTTGTTTTGGTTATTTTTGTGTTGGTTAACTATATAGAAAATCCACTGCATTGCAGCTGTGATGCACAAAAACTATGGGAATGGCTGCGCGATCATCGAAAATGGTCGCAAACGAGCGCCGGTGATGGCATTAATTACTTAAGGTGTGAACATCCAGTGGACTTGAGGGGCAAAGTATTTGCTAAAATGGAGCCGCAACAATTTTGTGATGCACCGTTGATACCGAAAATCGCCATACAGGATATTCAGCCATATTCGGTGGTCGTTTCATGGCTGAGTCGTGAGCATTTGGGTTTAACTGGCTATGAAATTGTATATTATGCGACCACAGATGGCATTGATTACGATGAGGTGAGTGTTAACCATAAGAGAAAATTGTAGATTGTATGGTGATGTTTGTTGTCATAAGCACTAACAGCTAAACTGAAATTATATGTGGTTTTAGGTGGAAATATTCCATTTAATTCTCGATTTTATTTCGAATGGGAAGAAAATTAACGAGTTGCGTTCTCAAAGTGAACTTTTGCTGACACTGAGAATATTATATTACATACCAAGTATTTGTAGAAATAAGTTAGTTCAGATTCGTTATATGAAACCATCGAAAAGCTAAGTGTAGTAACCCACAGACTAAGCGATGCTATTATTTCAGAGAATTCAATTTAAGATCCATATGAATATTGAGTATCGTAACCGGCTGTGATGAAATAAAACAAAAAATATGAGTTGTTTATGGGTAATTGTTTAAAAATCTGCACCAAAATTTCTCTCCCTGAACAATCACTAGCAACTAAACAATCACTTGTAAATTTATTGGACGTCAACTCCGGAAGTTTTTCTTGCTGCTTCTTAGTTTCACAAGGCTGGAAATATGAATTATTAAGAAAGATATTTTCCGAAGGCCCTAACTGAGAACTAAGCGATTCGTTTATTTGGTGGTGCACCAATTCCTTCGAATGATTTTTAGAATGAAAAAATGTCCGAAAAAATTGCTTTAAAATTTAATAATTTATATTATCGAAGGACCCTCAATTTGACCCAAATTTTTTTTAACAAAGCATCGAACCTTTAGAATATTGTCCCTCTTGTCGTAAATTGTAACATTACCTCACTTTAGTTCGAATAAATATCGAAGGTCCTCCTAATAAAAGAAGACCTTACATGCATACCGGAAACTATAACTATTGACGATATTTTATTTTTCAGTAGTCTAAAATATTGTAAATCCAAAAAGGAAATCTACACTTAAGATATTCACTTTTATACTCTTGCAGCCGTTAGCCGGTTTCGTACTTCTAATCAATTTCCACAACGCTTGAAGCATAATTTTTCGCACATATACGGCAATAATGTTCATTCACTTTTCGTCTCATTCGTTCCATTTCGTTTCAGAAAAGAATCGCAGATGTTAATTAAGTCTATTAAATTTTTCACAGACATTTCATGTGGTACCTTTCTTTTTGAGCCAGTCCTGTTTAAATGGTCCAAAACTCCGTAAACTTCAAAAATTTCATTGTTGGCTTGCATGATATTATTCCCTTTTTTTTTTACAAATATTTCAAAATATAGCTAATTTCTTTATTATTTTCACTCACTCACATAATCAAAGAAGATCAGCTAAAACTTGAAGTTTGATATAAATTTTGGTCGATTTTTTGCTCTGCCATTATCAGGTTAAAAGTTGCCTGACTGCGAAAGGGTGTGAACTATAATAGAGCACATTATTCTTACTCATGCTGAACGATTCTAAGCATAGAATGTCGTCGAAAGTCTTTAAGATCCCTTGTTAGAATATATATTCTTATTCTTTGGCACTACAATTGTGTGTTTGACTGGGTCGAGAACATAAAACTTCGCCAATTGCCTCTATCGTTGTGAGATCATGCCAGTAGTATATCCCAAATGCAGACAGATCGCTATAAACTTCGCCCTTCCGTTGGATGAGTGGACGCCCTTGCTTTCCTTGTCCACCCATGGGTCTCGAATCGTGGGTGCTTTCCCTGGGTTATAACCTTCCATATGAACAACGCGGCCTAACCAGCGCATTTGTTGGATTTTTATACGCTTAAATATCCTGTCAATGTTCCAGTAGTACTCATATAGTTTCTGTTGCCTTTTTCTTCGATATTTATCGCTCACGCGGACGGCTCCAAAAACCTAGCGGATAATAGTTATCTCTATTGCGCCAAGTGCCTGCTCACTTCGGCTACTCATCGTCTATGCTTCTGCGCCAAGATCGGAATAATGAGAGACATTTACAACATAATTTTTGTTCGTCAAGCGCGGAATCTGCTACCCAATTGCCTTCTAGTAGTACATTTTTGCAAGAGTTAATCTCCAGGCTTATATTTTTGGTGGAATTTATGCAAGTTTCGAGATTTCAAAATCTTTATTCTTATATTTATAGTTGTTAACAGCGACATCTTTCCCAAGAAGCGAGGAATCTTTTTGTGTGACCTACAGTTACTTTGTCATGCCGTCGTTCAACAAAAGTGCTGTTTGTTTTTTTTTTTTTTAGGCTGGTAAAGTCTGCCACATATAAATTTTTCCCTCATTCTTTTAAAGAAAACCCACGAAAGGAAATCACTTTGTCTTAGAACTCGCCTGGTATAGAACGGGTTGGAAGGTTTCTTCCCGATTTTGACCAAGCTGACGGTTCTTATCAACTTCATTCTGCATAACCGAATGAGTTCGGCTTTGAATTCGATGAAAAGGTGATTGGTGTCGATCATTTTTGTCAAGGGTCTTCACTAGGGTTTGAAGTATTGTGAAAATATAATATAGTCCATGGGTGAATTCTTTAAGTCTAAAGTCACACTGATAAGGTCCAATTAGTTTATTCGCAGTGGGTTTAGAATATATGGTTCTGTCAAATATTACGCGGAACTTATTTGAGAGGAGTCGCTCCAGCAGAGAAGTACTTTGCCCCACACAACACATAACACCCAACTTAGAAGTTTATATACGTTACTAACTAAAGATTATATTATTCTAAAAAGCCACCTAACAGATTTAGGACAGAAGTTAAGAATTATAAATTTTTCGTGAACCATTTCGTTTGTAATTTGATGAATAAACTTTTAGCGTGATATCATTAAGTACTTGTACCAACATTTTCATGTCGCTTCCTCAAATGGCCTTAATTCAATCTACATTTTTGTTTTTATTCCCCATAGATGCGTGGCAAACGTCTCAACGGCACCGCGAACTCGGCCAAATTAACAAAGCTGAACGCGAATACGCGCTACCACATCTGCGTCATTGGCACTGGTAATTGGCTGTCCGAGCCGGCGGCGAATGCCTTGCAAAGGATACACTTTAACGACACCGTGCTAATGTTACGCGACGAGGCAGCCGCAAGTGGCGGCAGCTACAACGCAGGCCAACAACAGCAACACTACTATTACGACCAACAACAACAACAACAACAACAACAACAACAACAGCAGCAATCCGAATATTATCAGCAATATTTTCACACGTATCAACAGCCGCACGACCAGCAGCAATTATTTACGCAAGCCGAGCCGCAACAACAACAGGCGCTAATCGAGAATACCGTCGTCACGGACAATGCGCTGCGGGACGTATTGAAAAATACGCACATCACCACTTGTACGGACGTGCAAACACTGGACTCGACACCGAGTCTGGTGACCGACGAGAACGGGCTCTCCAGCAACGGCTTCATACACTCCATATTAACGCGGCGCCTAGGTCTGATTGTCGGCTGTTGCCTGGGCATCATTGTGTTCATTGTCATGATTTCGGTGTTGAGTTATGTGAAACTGAAGAAGCAACGCATCGAGAATGCCAAAAGACAAGCCGCCATGCCACCCGAATACATTTCGTATCGACACTTCTCCATACCCAATGAGGAGCTGGTGCGCGCCTCGGTTGCTGGCGGTGCTACCACGACAATTTCGAGTGTACCAAGCGGCATTAGTGCACACATCAGCGGCACCAGCCTGAGCACCAGCGCCACAGCCACCACGGCTACCACGCCACTGGGGACCAGTACCGGCAATGGCACTGACAGTAAGGGCGTCGGTGGCGGCGGCACCGGCGGCACAGTGACATCCGCTACCAACACGCTGAAGAAGAGCGAAGTCAACGCCAACTTAACGGGCGTGAGTGGTGTGAGCGTCGGTGTGAGTGTCGGTGTGGGGATGGTTATTGCCGAAGGCAATGGCTTGGTGAATTTGACCTCAACAGCCACAAAAGCAACGAGCAATGATGTCAGCGGCACAACGACATCAGTGAACGTAACAGCGACGGCGAACAACCACAATCACCATGCGCATCAGCAGCAGCAGCAGCAGCAGCAGCAACAGCACCACCACCAGCAATTGCGGCTCCAGCATCAACAACAGCACCAGCACCAGCTACAGCGCCAGCAACAGCAGGCGGGCAATCACCATCATCATGTTGTTGGCGGCAATGGCGGTGTGGGCTACATGTCGTCGGGCGTTGTTTTGGGCGCGAATCACTTGAATGCCTGTTAGTTGCGGCATCGGCGCTTGTCACAACGCCGCAAACGTTGTCGCGAAACTCCCTTTCGGCCATAAAGTTACGAGTATTTTTAAGGTCCTCTTAAAACAGACACAATCGCGTATACTGGTGCATACATACATACATACATACATATATAGCTTGTAGGCGAAGACACCTTAGGTTAAGCATAACTGTAAATATGATAATGTAGAAAGAAGTGACTTGTTAATGAAAAGTATGCAAATCGGGGCAAAGCAGTTGTGAGCTGGCAAAGCAGGGCATCCACCGTAGCAAGTGGACCGGCAATGAGTACCACGCCATGCTCTGCGTCGCTTTGCCTCCAAAAGTGTATAAATATGTTCCCAATGACTTTGTTAGTTGTATTTAGCTTAGCTATAATGTGTTAGGCTACCTAATTTAAGTTTAGATTTATGATAGATAGGCTGAGATTGAAACTCTTATTATTTGTTGTACTCCTACAGCAGACTTTTAATCGAACACACTCATCAATAATGCGCACACAATAATTTAACACACAAAACTAGCATTACTTCGATGCTAAATATGAATATAATATTATGATTGAATTTCGTGAAAATTACGTTATAATCACTTCTGAAGTAATTATGTGGCTTATATGACAACTTAGTGTAAAATAAATAATATTTCGGTTATTTTGTGGTTATATCTATATTTAGTGTAAATTTTACATATCTTGCCTTTATATTGCACTGTACTTTGCGTATTCAAAAAAGTTAGGTTATATTGAAAAATAAGTTGAAGGTTTTGACAATACCTCGAACAACTAGCACAACCATATAAAACCCGAATTATTTGAAATGTTTTTTATAAAATATGTAGAGCATACCATCTTCACTAGATATAGCAACAAATATCGAGTTTGCGAAAATTTTAAAAAGTTTTTCAAGTCGTAATTTTTAAACCAATTATTCGGTTTATTTGTAATGAAGTAAGATTATGTAAATTTTTTTTATAAAGTGTGTGGGTCGTGCTATCTTAAATATATATATATGGTATAGCAGCTAATTTCGAGTTTATGAAAAGTCCAGCAAATTTTTTCAATAACATTTTTAATATAACATATTTAATTATACTATGAGAAGTTCTAGTATTAATATTCCACTAGCGAATCACTATATTTGACATACTATTTGGAGGAGGCAATGAGATTCACTAATTTTAATATAAGGTAGGCGAAAAAGTATTTTCGTATTTCTATTGAAACTTCAACATATATTTTTTAAAATTATAATTGTCACCGATGGTTTTATCGAGTGAGAGACATTCGTTAGCGAACAAGCAAACGAAGGAGTCGAAGTGGGCGTATTAAATAAATTAAATTTTCTTTTGAATAAATTTTGAATTTCGTTCAATAATAATTTAAAATAGACAATTTGGACATTCTTGACATAATGAACTTTAATGAACCAAATGTATACTATTTTGGTCGACTTGTTGTCATTTTTCCGTGGACACTATTCCACCAGTGTAAAACTTTTCTGCTTTCTCTGCGAAACCCTGCGACAAGTAATTTTCACAGGCTTCTCTTGAAGCCAACTTTGCTACATTGACCGAAAGAAATGGTAGTTCTATGGTGCAAGATCATGGCTATATGGTGGATGCATCCAAACTTTCCAACCAAGCTCTCCCAGTTTTTTCCGAGTCATCAAAAAGTGTGTTGTTTAGCGTTGTCCTGATAGATTTGCGACCATTTTTTGAGCTTCACCACACTTGGACAATAACCTTTTTCGTACATTATTGTCGTATTTGATCCAGTTTTCACCTCCTCTTACTACTCGCATCAGAAATGGTTCGATTTAATTTCGTCCATTAAAATTTTCTCTGACAATTCATGTGGTACCCAAACATCAAGCCTCTTTTCATAGCCAGCCTTTTTTAAATGGTTCAAAACCGTTTTATGATGAATGTTAAGTTCTTTAGCGATGTCATGGCTGCTTATGTGACGATCCTGATCAATATTTTCCGTAATTTGATCTACTGCAATAGGTCGACCTGTGCGAGGTGCATCCTTCACATCGAAATTTCCAGAACGAAAGCGAGCGAACTATTGTTGTGCTATACGAACTGATATAGCATCATATCCGTAAACTTCACATATTTCATTGTTGACTTGCGTGGTATTCATTCATTTTTTATACAAAAATTTCAAAATATAACGAATTTATTCATTATTTTTAGTCATGTTTGAACAGCTCTAACTTTTTTTCAACTTCCTCGAATTTAATTATTTTTTTAGTTAAATGAGGTTCAACTTTCCGACACTAGTAGGAGTTTTCTTTTCACTTTCCAGCTTTCGGTACACTCAGGTTGAAGCATCTTGTTGCCATACTTTTTACGTGCCCTGCGATTTGGCTAAAATTGGTACTAACCACATCAATAAATTTCTGACATGCTCTAGGCGTTTTGTTGATATTCGAAGGTCTTTTTAATCCTTACCTAGAAGTTCTGGGCAACATAGCGGACAGACGACTCTGGCTGTTCAAGCAGAATTATTCGTGGTCTCACGAAAAATCAGTCTATTTACCTAACCAAAGCTAAGTCGGGTTTCAACATTACTCTACAATCTATATTAAATCTATTGTAAAAATTTACCTCTTAGGTACCCAAAAAAGTTTATAGTTCTTAACAACAAAAACCACTTTGAAAATGTTCCTAGCATTTTTTAAAACTCTTAAGCCGATTTCTTTCATAACCTCACCAATATTTGTTATTGCTCATAGAAATTTTATGTTCACCGATCTCTCAAACATAAACAATAGTTTTGATAGCTGTTATATTATATTTCCGAAATGTTCTAACAATATTTTATTTTAAAATTTTAGATATTCAACCAAATTCCAAAACATTTCTTTGCTTTGAAGAAAGTACAAGAAATTTATGGTTTCAGTGCTGTAAAATAACATACGTCGAAAGTATATATGTCAAATATAATTCAGACATCTGCGAAAGAGAAATTTTCCAACCACTTATAAACAAAAAAATATATATATAAAATTTTACTCCTAGAAAGAAATTTAATTGATCTGCCAAAGTAAGCATATTTAACTTCTATTTATATAAAGAATAGAATACACTTGAAAACAATTTGGAAATCTCCTTTGAGGTTAAGTTGCGGCTATGCTTTCCACAAGTTCATAAACATGGTCATTGCCAAGCGAATGTCAAAAAAAATTAGATGGCAAAAAGCGAATGCGAGAAATATTTTAACTCCTAAGTCTCTGAATTTTGATATTAATTATTAAAGATTTTTTAAAGCTAAAATCACAAAAAAATTATTGTAAAAATAGTGAAAATGATTCACAATGGGTAAAAACTAGGTTAGTGAAATCGTTTTGTTATGGAGCATAAAAAAGTCATTTTTGAAAATCATTGTAAATACCAGTTGCACAAATACTTTATACCTAAAAATTAATCATAACCTAAAACAAGATATAAAAACACTTATAATATAAAATAATAATTTACGTTTTTACAGTTTGCGAGCATATTATTGTAAGCTATTTTAATTTATTTAAACTAAGCCAAAAAAACTTACAAAGGAAATGGAATGCTCTAAATCGCTTGAGAATTTTCAAACTATTTTTGATTTGACGAAATTTTCTTCATTTTAGTCCAAATGTTTTTATATTTTAGGACCTGTTTTAATGAATCCATAGAAACATAAAACTATCCTGCGGTAAGCGTTCAAGATATCCGAAAAGTGCTAGTTTTACAATAGAAAACTCCTAACCAAACGTAACTAGTCAGAGTTATTTGAAAAATAGACTAGATTAGTTTATGTTATGTTGAAATGACGATCTAACAACGGATCCCAATTGGACAGTCGACTGAATGCTTTAAGCTTGTCAAAACACTGTTTAGGAAACTGATAACAGATCCGGCTTTTTCGCCAGGTTGGTCGCAAATATGACTGCAGAGATGTTTCAGTCCTGCAAAAACCGGACAATGGAAGAAAAAGTGCTTGCATGCTCCCACTTCACATGTTCCCATACAATTTTAACAGTGACAGTTGACAAGATTTTTAGCCTTACCGAATATGTATGCCAATTGGACAATGTTCCCTAAGAATTTCAATGATTGCGGCGAGTTAAAATATACCAAGAGCAAATTATTCAGCTGATCCTCTGCGATCGTATCTGCTCTGGGGCAGGATAAGTAACTTGTATGAAATAGTAACTAGTTCAAAACTCCTTTATTTAGGAGTAACCACATTTGTAACTTGTATAAGAAAGTAACTTACTAAATTTCTTAACCATCTTTGTTACCGGGATGTTTTGTTTTATTTCTTACTTTTTAAGCCCAAAATAGAGATCTAGTCAACGAAGCGTACATATAATAACATAACTAGTATCTCAATAGAAATATTTGTGACTAAAATGAACTAGTTGGAGAAAAGTCTGAGAAAGCCCAGTCCACAGTTAAACTTCCTCATAAAACATCGCGAAAATTAGAAGGGCTTTTGTGCATTTAGAATTATACACCTCTGTTTCTTATTTTCTTAAAATCTTGAGTAAAATCACCAAAACCATATGTGTTTTTAAGTAGCTTTAATTAGTAAAGTCCAGTTGATTTTCTATCGAAAGTTGGCAGCTTTCCATCTCCAGCGGGTTCTGCACTAGTTTCATGACCACTCTACAACTAGTTCCAAGATAGTCAACAACTAGCTAAAAGATGTTCCACCACGATATTATGAGTGATCTACAACTAGTTCCAGGATAGTTCACAATCAGCTTCAACGAGTTCTACAAATAGTTCATGGGTAGTCCGCAACAGTTTATATGACAGTCCACAATCAGCTTCCTCTTGACAGCTAGTTTCATGACTGATCTACAACTAATTCCAGGAAAGTCCAGAACCATATAAAATATGTTCTAAGCAAGTTTACGGGTCACGTAGAACTTGTTCGAGGGTAGTTCACAATAAGTCCTTCTCAAAATTCAATCTTTCCTTTTTCTACTCCTTTTCAAAATATTTACCGTATTTTTTCACACTCAATATACACACATACATTAATAAAGTAATTTAAGGTCATAATTTTAATGCTGAACAGGCCAAAATAAGCCTAAAAATTATATAAAATAATAAAAACTAAGAAAGTAGAATACAATTAATTAACTAATTAATTAAGTAGTTGCAAATACAAGCTAAAGAATTAAATAATAATAACAACAGAAAAACGAAGTAAAAACACACAAAGCGTTTCACTTGTAAAACGAACATTTGAATGGAAATTCTTGTAAATTTAAGTTACACTAAAAAAAAAATTAGTAAACTTAATATAAACTAGCCTTAGTAAAAGAGAAAAAAACTCGAAAAATCTTAATGATTGCTGGAACTGTAACACAACCAATAACTGAACGAATCAAAATCGAAAGGAAATAAGAGAATAAAAAATAAATCACTGCTGAAAACCACACACACCTAAATACAAGCAAACTTAGGTGAACACACGCACACATACAAACAAGTATATAAGTAAGTGCGTGTGCGAATTAAGGCGATCCTATGCGCTTATGGAACAGCATAGCTAAGCATAAAATAAACAAACATAACGAAAATCAAAAATGAAAAAAAGAAAAATAAAACAAGAAAAATAACACGAAACAACAACAACAACTATGTATTTCTGTAGTCAGTCTATAAGACATAAA